TTTTCAAATCCATCTCCCCTGTATTATAGGTTTAGCTAGACTTAATGGTTGCAAAACATTGACTGAGAGGCTAAGAAAACAATTATTTCCCCAAAGAGTCATCAAGTCATATATTTATTAAAATTTGTGGGGTTAAATCTTAGGGGAGGTTTCAGTCTTGCTGATGTGACCTAGAAATGCCAGGAAAAAATGAATGGACAACGTAGGCCTCGACCATCATGCTATGTGGACCGTGCCTAGAGAGACCTACCCTTAAGTCTTCTTCAGCCAACACTAGAGGCCATTAAGATTTGACTCAGCTGTTACTATTATTTCCTTCTTGTTGAATATAAATAAAGGAATCCTAATTTTATAGGAGATCTCAAAGAGCTCGTCTGGGCTGCTCATAGCCTAGTGGTAGTTGAAGAGTCAAGGCCAAAGTCATATGGGATTATGGCAGGTGAGTCCGAGCCCACAGAAAGTGTCTTGTCACATCAGCACAGACTCCCAGGGAGGCCACCAGAGCACTTGGGGTTGAAGAGTCAGAAGGATTTTCGTGCTGTCAGAGCCCAGTCATTTGGAAGTTACCGCTCCTTCCCAAGGTCCGAGTCTTAGTGGTCTCTAGCAAGAAGGGCTTCCTAAACTCATGCTATTGTTTTCATTCCAGAAAAAAAAAAGCAATGTTGTTTATCTTTGAAAAAATTTTTGCGGCTTGCTCACGTCAGACACAGAGGAAAATAAATGTGTGGGTTTGTTAGTCACACATATTGCCCAGGAAGAGCGAGCATCTTTCGCTCAAAGGTAAACACATCAGTGTGAGTGTGGCTGCCCACTGGTGCCTGCAGGAGTCCACGCAGCAAGGCCTTGCTTCTAGTAGTCCACACAACACTCGGCTTCTCTTCCTCTCGGGACAGTGTACTGATGGTGTCATCAGGGTTGCCACACAGGTAAACTAGCAACTTTGGGATCTGGAAGGAACATACATGTTTTTAAAACCCAGAAAAGGCTTCCCTGATAAAAATCAAACACCTAGTAATGGATGGGGCCAAGATTTGAACCCAGACTTTCATACTCTGTAACTCGTGCCTTTATTGCTTAACACAATCCTTGTAGAGGTTTTGATGTTTTTTTTCCGACTCTACTAATTTTATTAACTCTTCACCTCATCCAACCCACTGTAAACAAAAACAACATATAGTGTGGTTTCTCTTTTCTTCTTTGCTGGGCGTTTGTGAACTGAAACTATTGCTTTACTTTTTTAGTTCTTCTGTTTAGTTTTTGCAGATATTTAGAATAAGCAAAATACAGAAATACTGTTTCTCTTCCATGGAAAATTCATTGTTTGCATTGATAATTTAGACCTTGTTTTCTGAGCAGCAATTGCCATAGCTGAATATAAGAATGATGTGGATACTATGTATGGGAGACCGTGAATACATCTGCAGAATAAATCTAGCTACACATGTTCATTCTAGGGAAAAAGCATTCATGCATATTCTGCAGAAACACTTATATGCCTGTAAATAAGGTTGTTTGGTTCCTCTACTTAACATGAACAGTTGATACTTAGTCAGTTTATTATAGAGGGCTGCAAGAGTTAAAGATAGTAATGGTCTTATTACCTGCCTGTTGCACTAATATATGTCTGAAGTTGCATTTTGCATATGGCTGTGGCCATTTCTAGAAGGACATTACTTCTCTTTTGAGTCCTTGCCTGTTGTCAACTTTTACGAATCAAAGCTAATTAAACATTACTGGTGTGCTTCAGAAGTTTTTTTTTTTTCTTCTTCAAAGTTTGGCCTGTGCTGCTTCTCTGGAAAATCCATTCTTGAGGGGGTTGTCTTGAACTTAACCACTAATAGACTGTTGGGCATCTGCAGAGGCCTTTTGTTTCCAGGATTTCACAATCATTGCTGTTTAATCCATAGAATATCCATGTGAGGTAGGCAGATATACTCAAGCATCCAAATCTCCTGCAGGGGAATTTCAGTGCCTGTAGGAGTATTGTGATTGGCACTGACTGTCCCTGGTTTCCCAGAGGCCAGACACCTGGAGAGGCTTTGCTACAGGCTCAGGTACACACCAGCATTTTAGCATGGGGGATCTCTCTCTCTCTCTCTCTCTCTCTCTCTCTCTCTCTCTCTCTCTCTCTCTCTCTCACTCTCTCACTCACACACACACACACACACAGAGACAGAGAGAGAGAGAGAGAGAGAGAGAGAGAGAGAGAGAGAGCGACTGCATCTTTATCCTGTAATAGACGCATTACCTATATCAGCATCCTATGACAAGGCTGTAAAGTAGATACTGTCCTTCCCATCGTACAAACGAGAAAGGTAAGGCTGGAGAGATGGCTCAGTCAGGCTCACAACCAAAGACAAACGAGAAAGCTAACACTAGTAGGTTGCTCACACTGGAGGAGCTGGAACGTAAGTCTAGCTCTGTCTGATTCCAGAGTCAGTCCTTCAGCCAGTATCAAATACTGCCTTTAAAATGGAGTGTAAGAATGACTAAGATCATAAACAAAATTGGCAGCCTGTGATGTTGAGGAGGTGGAGCAAGGGGAACACTCCTCCCTTGCTGGTAGGAGTGCAAACTTGTACAGCAACTTTGGAAGTCAGTGTGGCAGTATCTCAGGAAATGGGGAATCAGTCTACCTCAAGACCCAGCTATTCCATTCGTGGGCATCTGCCCAAAGGATTCTCAATCATACCACAAGGACACTTGCTCAACTATATTCATAGCTGCTTCTTTAAAAATTGCCAGAACCTGTAAACGACCTAGATGTCCCCTTAACCAAAGACTGGATAAAGAAAATGTGGTACATTTACACAGCGGAGTACTACTCAGCTGTTGAAAACAATGATGTCATGAAATTTGCAAGCGAATGGATGTGAAAAAAATAATCCTGGGTGAGGTAGCCCAGACCCAAAATGCAAGCATGGTATGTGTTCACTCATAAGTGGGTATTAGCTATAAAGGATAAAAGATAATCATGCTGCTGCCCACAGGCCCAGAAAGGCTCAGCAACAAGCAGGACTTAAGGGGGGGGGGGGTGCATGGCTGTCCCTGGGAAGGGGAAATAGATTTCTCCAGTGGACCGGGGGCAGCAGGAGGAGTTGGGAACAGGAGCGATCAAGCGAGGGTGGTACTGGGAGAAACAACTGGAACTGGTGGGCATTTGCTAGCGGGTGAGACCTCGACCAACGGCTAGTCCACGGACTCTACGAGGCTCGCAAAGACTCCTAGTGATGGCGGACACAGAGTCTGAACCGGTCACCTTCTGTGACCAGGCAATGCCTCAGCTGGAGGGATTGGGACACCAATTCAGCCACAAAAGCTTTGGCCTACAGCTTGTCCTGCTTACAGAGTGTTCTGGGACAGGAGCCTAGCAGAATCCTCCTCAAAGAGACACAAGAGAGACTTCATCCCAGCAACTGATTGAAGCAGATGCAGAATCCCATAGCCAAACATTAGGTGGACCTCACGGAGTTCTTCCAAGGAGAGGGAGAAAGGAGGTTTGAAGTAACCAGAGGGATCCGGGACACCATGGAAGCACGGCCCACAGAATGAATGGACCAGGACCCATGGGGTCTGGCAGAGATTGGGTAGCCTGTAAGGGTCTGGTCTAGGCCCTCTGCATATATATTCTGACGGAGTAGCTTGGTGTTCTTGTGAAATTCCTAACAGAGGGAGCAGGGGGCTGTCTCTGACTCCTCCGCCCACGTGTGCGACCTTTTTCTTCCTGTTGGGTTGCCCGGGTCAGCCTTGATGTGATAGTGTGTCTCTTGTCTTATTGTAGCTTGTAATGCTGTGTTTGGTTGGTGTCCCTGGGAAGTCTGCTTGTTTCTGACTGGAGACTGGGGGGCTTGGTAGATCTGGGGGAAAGGGGAGGTACAGGGGGAGGGGAGAGAGGCTGGGGGGAGGGGAAGGAGGGGAAACTGTTCAGGATATAATATATGGGATAATAATTGTAATTTATAGCTGGGAGACCATGGAGAGAAGGCATACAAAAGACTCGTCCTTTTTGTAAGTCGAGGCAATGCCTTGTAAATTGTTCTTACCTACATACAGTATGCCCATTAGAGCTTTCCCCTCCCCTCATCACCATCTTTACTGGTAATTTTGTGGGAAAATAACTATTTATTTCATGTAATTGCTCATGTTAAAACTGTACTCTGAAACTACTGAAAAATTCATTTTTAAAAATTGATAGGAATTTCGATCAAAAAAAAAAAAAACAAGTACATGGCACAGGTACTCAGTTGAAACAAAAGAATCTGTTGCAGGATTCCATGTCTCCAGTCCTCTCTCTAGTCATTGCTAGTCTAGTTTCTTGTGACTGCTTTCAGAAATATCCAGTGTTTGTCTTTGTGCACGTGTGTTTGCTCAGGTGTGTATGTGCGTACACATATATGTATATTCTTACGTGTTCCAACTAAATTGATTGCCTTCACTATGGATAATGAAGCCCTAAGCATTTTGTTAGTCATAGAAGTATATTCTTTGAACATTATCAGTGTTTTATGACATTCTTTGTAAAATTATTTGTGTATAAATAATTATTTATAATTTTACTTTTAAAGAAAAATACAGGTATATATTATTGTGTCCTCAAAGGAAACACTAACAAATACAAGAATATTCAGTTATAAGATAGTTACTATTCCAGTGTTTTAATCCTTAGGACCTAGTAGATTGAACATTTACTTTGAAATTCTCATTGTTTTCTGTTTGTCTTCTAATTGATAAAAAGCTGTATAATCTTTGTATGCTAAAGAACAGGGCAATATTTTGAAGGGAAAGTGATAGTGTTATTTTGGCTATAATATTCAGTGATGTTTCAGAATAGTAGAAGATAATATAAAGCCATTGTATCTTGGGAATGATATGTTTCTGGTATAAATTTGAGCTATGTATAGTGAGCTTTAGTTTTCCCCAAACATGGGATCTGACCGTCTTAAGTGTTTGAATGTAACAGTCGAGTTGCTAATTCTTCTCTCTCTGTCTTCTGATTTTAGGTTTTAGTATCAAGGCAGTACCACTCCAGAGTGCCATCTTGAATGTAAAAGAACTTGGAGGTATAACTTTTACAATCCTCTCTACATCTGCCCTTGACTATTCGTGTATTGCATGTAATTAATCCCAGGCGATTGATGTTTAACTTTTTCCTTACTAATACATTCCTTTACATATGAGTCAGCAGTTGTCCTAGACTTGTAAGTAATATAAACTTTGCTTTCTTTTGTGTGAACCGAAGGACAACACACTAACAGCACCGTTGTACTCTGTCGTTGCTTTTACTTATTAATTATTCTAAAAGGAAACCTATGAAAAGAATCCAAAAAAACTAAACAAAAAACGAGCTACATAGGGCAAATAATTGTATTTAAGTGTGGATTTCTACTGCAGGTTCAACTGTGTTCAGTCTTTTCAGAACCTATTTGTTCCGATAATAAATCTTTGCCAATGGGTTCTTTGCTGGCTAGGCACATTTATTGGATAGGCTGTACCCAAAATCATCCATCAGTCAGTCTTTCATTACACTCTCTGTCTGGCATCTTTTGGGTTGTGTTTTATGTCAGTCAGGGTCTTAACCCATGCAAATAGATTAACAAAGAAATCAGTCAATTCAGTGAACCTACTAAATTCTCTTTAACGGCGCAAGAAAATGCCGAGTGCCAGAGTTCAGTATAATATCGGTGAGTTTGGTGACTTAGAAAGTTCTCTTTTGTCTTCTTAATCACTGTGTGATGGTGACCTTACCCTGCTTTTTTTTCCCTCCTCCGTCAAGGTCATTTCTAATTGTGACTTGCTTTTAGTGCTGTGAAATGGAAACACACAGCTGTATGTCACCTTGTTAAAGTTTGATGCCTTCTGATACTTTTCAATAAAGTGCTGACTGGCCTTTCCAGCCAGGTGTCTTCAGTGTGACGGCTGACAGTGAATTTCACAGCACTGATACTGAGATGCATCTGCAATTGCGCAATTAGAAGTTTCTCTTAAGGTGCTTGGTGTTCTAGGAACATGAATGTTGATCTTAGCTAGAAAGCAGGCAAGCAGTAAAAAATAGACTTCCTTGACATAACTTCTGTGTAAAAATGTTCTAAAACTGCTAATAGATTATTTTAATCATGATTTGATCTCTGCTGGCCACTCCTCCATTGACAATATTATTTGTAGATATTTTGCAGTCAGAGACCCTAATATAAAATTAGTAGAATCTAACTGTATGGTGTTTTAATTATTAGGCTGGGTTAAAAAAAATAGCAAAACAAAACAAACAAACAAAAAAAAAAACACTTTCATTGAACATTCATCAGTATAAGGAACTGTTGTGAACTGGCAAGGTATTATTGTGTGTTTATTTGGGTGAAATAAGTAATTAATGTTTCTTAAACAGTTCATAAAAACGAATGAATGAAGTTAACATTGGTTATTCATTGAAATTGAGTGCGATGAAAGATAAAACTAGAGGACTATGTAGGAGGGTCTATGTAGGAGAGGAGTATGTTTTTGTTTTTCCTTAAGGGAGTTTATTCTCTCCGATAACAAAACTGTGCCCGGACAATTGACGAAATGGAAATTGCAATGGAGAGGATCCCATAGGGTTTGGTGGCACATTTTAATTCATAACTTACTGTTAGGAAGTTGAATAACATATGTATACGGAGAGCTTTGGGCATTGGAGCAGTAGGCTAGCTCCAGACTGATAATACTTGGGTTTATGCTTGCATTAGGGCAGAAGAGTAAATTTCTGGTCCAACCATAGATTGATTTTTTTTTTCCCCTCTCCCTCAGCTTTAACATCCCTCTATCCATCTTAGGAAAAGGTAGACCAAAGTACAATTTGTGTACTCTCTTTCATAGTCTCAGAGGCAGCAGCGGAGGGGGTTGTTCTCTGATGGGTGGACCACTTGCTTATTTATTGAAAACTTAGGGAGTACTCTGTTGTGTCTCACCCTGGAAGAGGCATGTGAAAAGCTGGGCTAGCACATATAAAGAAAATAAGCCTTCCTGGATTATAAAGTATATTATAGATGGCAAGGGAGTCGATGTAAGGAGAATTGTAACTTAGTGAAATTGAGTTGCTTGACTAAGAATCTCAGTGGGGAAGAGTTGGGTGTTTCAGGACCACTTTGAGACGGCAGGTGACCTGCATTCACCAGTACTAGGTTACTTAGAGATAGGGTCATTGGAGTTCAGTCAGTCCGTCAGTGTCTGGAAGATGCTGCACTCACGGGAGAAACTCGGGAAGATGGTTGATAAAGGCAGATAGTTGATGAGAGCTAAGGACCGAGTGAAGGATGCAGAAAACACAGGCAGTTGTCTTCATCCTGGGTTAGCTCAAGAGTGGCAGGCCCGTTCCTCCTCACCAACCTGCAGAAACTTCCTCCACACTTTCCTTTCCGAACCTTAGGTGAAATGTCTTACTGTTAGAAAAGAGTAAAGAAATGAACCATTGTCTTCTTTATTTAGTAAGGAGAAATGATTAATGGAGCCAAATTTAATGAGAGTCATCTCAGGTCATCTTCATAACAAACTATGTATACACATAAAACTGAATCATGCTTTGTATGCATGCATGACTGCATCAATTATATGTCAGTGTATATGCATATATCATATCATGCATAGTGCTTTGCAGTCGTTCATTCCTGTTTCACGAGTCTCACGCCCTTCAGCTCCTTCTTAGGTAGTACCTTTCCAGTTTACACAGTCATCCACTGCAGTGTTCCCGGGCTGGGAGGACTGTAAGCAAGACGCGGCTTCTGTGGGTTTAGTGGTAGAGGTAACCCTTGGATATACCTGTAGGGAACTAATGAACATCTGGGAAACAGTAAAATGAGTGGGCAGATACCAAAGCCGTAGGGAGATGACGACACGAAGCTAGCGGTACCTCCTAACGGTATGAAGGGCCAGGGGCCAGTACCATTTTTACTGCACACAACAGCTTGACCATTGTGGCTTGCCTGTCATTCTGGCCAGGCGGCGCGGGTTGTACCTATGGTTTTATTGGCACATATTGATTGTGTATCACAATGAATTTTATTGTGACATTTGTACGCATCTATAAAAATGTTTCCCTCCTGTCCCCTTCCCATTTTTTGTTGATTGTCCCATCCAGTCCCCCTTCCCTCCCTCTCTTTCTCATAATGACCCAGTGAGTGTAGGCCGCTTACAGGAGCTTGGGTGAGGGGACATTTAGGAGCACTTTGGCCTCTTATCAGTGGCCACATCACACAGCAGCTGTGAACTGCCATTAGCTCCTCAGGGAGGGCCCTGTGCGCCACTCTCCGGCCCACAAGGGCGAGTGGAGTGGGTCAGTCAGGCTTGCACAGGTAACTCCAGCTGCTGCAAGTTCATAAACACAAGGGCGGTCTGTGCCAGAAGACACAGTTCCACAGCGCACAAGCTCTTTAGTGCGATCGTTCATTTCACCTCCTCTTGGGTGAGCCTTGGGGATGGTGGAGTTGTCTGCTTCAGTGCCCAGTGCTTCATAGTCACTGACCAGTTATGAGTCACCCAGTGCTCTGAGCGAGGCCGGCTGAAGCTCAGCGTCACGAATGTGTGATCATGAACTTTCATGTTTGAAGGGCACAGCAGGACTCATGGATGCTGGTTGTCAATCAAATGGAAAAGTAATCTGCATTTGTTTGTTTGTTTGTTTGTGGTCTCCCACCCTGTGAAGAAAAGCAGGCAGCAAGGATTGAGGGGAAGGAAGTGTGCGTTGTATGTAATCACCCGCTTGCTTAGCCTGCGCAGTTGTGACGGGAGGATTCTTGGGGATTGTCAGCTCAGCCATTTTTTTAAGGCTACATCTTTCAGCAGCCAGCTGTTATAGGAAACAGATGTTGCCTGTGTCCGGCTTCCTTGTTTGCCTCCTCACAGAGAAAGGTGCCATGTCCCTGTCCCTGCTAGCTCTCTGAGGGTTCTGTCCAACTTATTTGCATTTGTTAATTTTCCAGGAACTGGCCAGGGCAGACTTCTCAACAAGCAACCCAGGAGACACAGCCTGCCTGTTTCTTTGAATTTCTGTCTTTGTATCTAGGGTATTGGACATCTTTTACTAAAATATAAACAACCCAAGGCTTTCCTATTTGTTTCCCTTTGCTAGAGTTTTACCTGCGCACTCTCTTCATATGCTTACTTTGCCTTTCCCTGCTGCGCATCTTACCTGGAGAAAGGCCCGGGGGTGCTTACAAATACTGTAATTCCTAACTCTTAGGCTTATGGCCGTGCAGGAGGAGTAAGACACGTCGTCAGATGCACGTGTAGGGGTTGTTGGTCCCTGAGGCACCGGTGGGGGCTCTAGAACTCTTGCAGGTTTTCAAGCATGCCGCTTGAAAACGTTCTAGGTATCTTCAGAGATGGGTTTGTGGGCAAGGAGGACAAGGAACTGTGTCCAAGGCAAAAGGAGGAGGCAGAGAAGGAGGCCCGGATAAGACCATGTCCACAGAATTAAGGGAACTGTAGGGAGCTGTACCCAAGAAAAATACGAAATGCTCAGGATCTGTTACAGAATTGTAAGGAAGAAATGTCACTTAGCAAGCAGTGTTCTCTCCAGACACCGGCCACTTTATGTCTGAGCCTCTTGCTGTGTTTTGATATCTGTAAAATGCAAGCTTTAATAAATCACCCCAAGTTTATTTCCCGAGGGGTTGGGCTGGAAGAGAAAAATTAAATTGCCTAAAGCTCCTTGGGAAAGATACTTTAAGGATGGACAGTGGTATTTTGAGTAATTCTCTTTTTATAGTTGTGGATCTGTTGTAGTATGTAGTGTTGAGTGACTGGGGCTTCTTGATAGAGCATTGTATCCTTATCTGAGAAAATAACCAGGCATTTATTGACTAGGAAGAGCCAGTTGACTCCTGGCTCTCTGGGCCATGTACTCTATCACTTAAGCTTGGGCTATACTAGGGAAATGATGTTGGTATAAGGCCAACTCACTTGGATGGGAGTGTAAAGGCCACAGCTATCTGAATTGGTTGAACAGGATCCCAGGGTGGTGGTGTTCGAGCGTTTTTTACACTTGCTAAGGGAATGCTGAGCCAAACACTCAGCAGAGCCAAGTAAATGA